AGGACCAGGCACATATGTGCATCGGTCCAGGTTACCATACCTCATTAGCACAGCAAGATGAACACCGGATTCATAGGAGTGGTTAGGTCAAAGGTTGCAATAAGGATATAGTATAGGAAGAAAGAATTAGTTCGTAGAAAGAAAGATATGAAGTGATTTTAATCTCTTAGTTTAAGGGAAGACAGGGAGTGTATACACCGACGCCATTGTGATCGATTCTGAGCCATGTCACCAAGAGTCTCCAACCATTGGTTACGAAGGTCACGCGGACCCCAACCAAGTAGTCTGCATCTACCAACATGGCTCAGACTAGAAGTTAGTGACTTTATGGACTGATGCCACGTTTTGGTTTGGCCGCCCCTAACTTTCTTCCAACCATCCCCTACACCGGTCAGCATTGCGCGTCGTGGTAATCAGTGTTCAGGCATACGTACCACGTAGCCCAACCATCTCAGTCGATGAAGATTCACAACTTCATCAACCGATTTACCATCATTCCCAAATACCCTGCATCTAACCTCACTATTACTTACCCGGTGATCCCAACAGACGCCAGCAATATTTCTAAGGCATCTGTGGTCAAATACTAGTAGCTTACGAGTGTCTTCCACTCTTAAAGGCCATGTTTCGCTGCCGTAAAGTAAGACAGAACGGACTGCCGCGCAGTATACTCGTCCTTTTATTGATAGACGGATATCTCGCCTCCGCCAAAGGTGACGTAAGTTGGCAAAAGCCAAACGAGCTTTTCGAATCCGTGCTGAGATTTCGTCAGACACCAACCCATTAGGGCTGATCAGACTTCCAAGATAAGTGAAGTTGTCGACGCGTTCGACTACTTTACTCCCTATCCTTAGTTCAGGTGTTGACGCAGACCAGTCCTGAAGCAACAACTTGCATTTAGAGGGAGAGAAGCGCATCCCAAACATTCTGGCATTGTTGCTTAGTGCTACCAGAAGACTCTGCATTTTGTCAGCGTCTTCACCAAACAGGACTATGTCATCTGCGTATTCTAAGTCGATAAGTGGACCTCCTGGATGGAGATCAATACCCGAGAATTCAGTCGACGAGAGTGTTATTTCCATCAATAGGTCTATGATGAAGTTAAACAAAAATGGAGAAAGCGGACAGCCTTGACGGACACCACTTGAAGTTGCAAAAGTAGATGACAGTTCGCCATAAGCCCTGACTCGACTAGTAGTGTTCGAGTAAAGAGCCTTCACAAGGTTTATGTACTTCTGAGGTACGCCTTTCAATGACAGACACTGCCACAGAGTCTCGCGGTCTACAGAATCAAATGCTGCTTTTAAGTCAAGAAAGACCACCATCGTCGGACGCCGATAGGTATGCCTGTGTTCTAGAATCTGACGAATGGTGATTATGTGGTCGATGCAGCCACGACCAGGTCTAAAGCCAGCTTGGTTCTCTCGAGTTTGTAGTTCACGAGTCTTATTTAGGCGTTTGATATTTATTTATTTGTTTATTTATTTATTTATTTATTAAATGTCCCATTAATACCGTACAAACCAACTAGCACTTAAAATTTATGTTGCATGTTAATGACTAAAATGCATAATTTTTCATCATCCATCAACAGTAGGGTTGGCAATATCAGGAGACCTAATAACCCATGTTTAGCAACCCTGATTCTCAGAAACAATTACAAGTATACAGAAAGCTGTTTTAGGCTATCAAACAGGTCTTATTAGTGTAAAAGAACTTCACATAATCCAACACTGCTGATATTATCGCTTTCACTGCAGCGTGAAAACAAGTCAAAGAAAACCGGTCTTCTTTAGTCTGAGGATGTCATTTACGTATGTTCTTTTACTTCAAATAGAATTGAAACCATACTGTTTCACTACACCGCAATTATATATCACGTCTAGTACAGTTGCTAAATATTCTCAGTGTATTTTACAAGTATCTTGATAGTTGCAGTTCTACAACCTAATTATTTGATTTGTTTGTATCTTTTAAAACCTTACATAATCTGTTGAATAGTTCATCATATTTGTGTGAGGGCTGTGATACTGTCCGAGTGCCCAGACCGAAACAGGTGGTTTTCTTAGGGGGTCACACCCTGAGCCTTTGACCTAAAGGCCTAACCCACGAGGCAGTGGAGCATCGTAAGGAGATGCAGTCCCATGGAAGCCGGTGACCAACAATTGGTTCATACGCCATTTGTTCCCGCAGGATACTGGAGCCCATATGCACCATTGATTTTGTTTGGCATCCGGTTAAAGCGCCGGACATTCGCTTTTCATCCTCTCGTTTTCGTAAACAACACTCCCGCCACGAGAAGGCAGTGAGTAGGACTTCCCTGGCAGAGGCTGTATACGCGTGGCCATGTGAGAGCATTTCGAGAGGGTGGGCGGGCCCACCCTACTCTCGGCCATACCAGGGCATTTGGGGGCAAAGCCAGTACGGCTTATGCCAATCTGGGGCATCTTTGGCGCCTTCGTGATATTAGTCTGGCTGTAAAAGGTCGGATCTATAACTTGTTGGTGAGAGCAGTTTTGCTCTATGCTTGTGAAACCTGGCCTCTTCGAGTTGAGGACGTTAGACGACTCTCTGTGTCCGATCATCGCTGTCTCCGAAGGATTGCTGACATCCAGTGGCAACACTATGTTAGTAATGCAGAGGTTCGGCATCGTGTGCTCGGGCACAGGGACGATAGTGCAATTGGTGTCACCACCTTGAAACACCGACTTTGGTGGCTTGGACGTGTTCTACGAATGTCGTCTCAGAGTGTACCACGTCGTGCATTATATGCTGACTCTGGGACTGGTTAGAAAAAGCGGAGAGGTGGTCAGTGTATGACATGGTGTCGTGGTATGAAAGAAAGCTGCGAAGGACTGGGTCATGTCGGTTCTTCACGACTCCCTGGCTGGGGTTCGAGAGATGGTGCTACACTGTGGCTAGAGACGTCAGTCAGCTACAACGTAGGACCAGACACATATATGCATCGGTCCAGGTTGCCGTACCGCATTAGCACAGCAAGATGAACACCGGATTCATAGGAGTGGTTAAGTCAATGGTGGTAATATATAAAAGAAAGATTGCATATAAGGATACAGTACAGGAAGAAAGAATTAGTTAGTAGAAAGAAAGATATGAAGTGATTTTAATCTCTTAGTTTAAGGGAAGACAGGGAGTGTATACACCTACACCATTGTGATCGATTCTGAGCCATGTCACCCAGAGTTTCCAACCACTGGTTATGATAGTCGCGCGGACGCCAACCAAGTAGTCTGCATCTACCAACATGGCTCAGACTAGAAGTTAGTGACTTTATGGACTGATGCCACGTTTTGGTTTGGCAGCCCCTAACTCTCATCTATCCGTCTCCAACACTAGTCAATATTGCACACTGTGGTAATCAGTGTTCAGGCATACGTACCACGTAGCCCAACCATCTCAGTCGATGAAGATTCACAACTTCATCAACCGATTTACCATCATTCCCAAATACCCTGCATCTAACCTCAATATTACTTACCTAGTGATCCCAGTAGACACGAGCAATATTTGTAAGATATCTGTGATCAAATACTAGTAACTTACGAGTATCCTCTACTCTTAATAGCCACATTTCGCAGCCTCAAAGTACAATAGAACGAACTACCGAGCAATATACTCGGCCTTAATTGATAGACGGATATCTTGCCCTCGCCATAGGTGACGTAAGTTGGCAAAAGCCAAACGAGATATTCGAATCCGTGCTGAGATTGCGTCCGATACCAACCCATTAGGGCTGATCAGACTTCCAAGATAAGTGAAATTGTCACTCCCTATCCTTAGTTCAGGTGTTGACACAGGCCAGTCCTCAAGCAACAATTTGCATTTGGAGAGGTAGAAACGAATCTCAAACATCCTGGCATTGTTGCTCAAAACTAACAAAAGACCCTGCATTTTATTAGTCTTTATCAGACAGGATTATGATATCTGTGTATTCTAAGTCGATAAGTGAACCTCCTGGATGGAGATCAATACCCGAGAATTCAGTCGACGAGAATGTTATTTCCATCAGTAGATCTATGATGAAGTTAAACAAAAATGGGGAAAGTGGACAGCCTTGACGGACACCACTTGAAGTTGCGACATCAGATGACGGTTCATCATAAGCCCTGACTCGACTAGTAGTGTTCGAGTAAAGAGCCTTCACAAGGTTTATGTACTTCTGAGGTACGCCTTTCAATGACAGACACTGCCACAGAATCTCGCGGTCTACCGAGTCAAATGCTGCTTTTAAGTCAAGAAAGGCTAGAGACGTTATCAGATATGGCTCAGAATAGAAGCCAGTGGCGATCCTGCTGTAACCTTCTTTTACTTTCTTCATAAAAAGTGTTTGCTTTTTTCTTAACTGAAAGATTTTTTCTCGTTGTACCTTCCTGTTTCCTCCACTATTACTATTATAATTGTTATTACACTACCTTACACTAATCTGTTCGTTATTGTTTTTTCTTTTACGCTCCTTACCTTTTTTTGTTTCTCTTCGAATTCTCATTGTTTTGTGTGGCGCATATATATTTGTTGCCCTCTTGTACCAATATTTATGTTTTCAAATAAGTAAATAAAATAAATAACATAATCTCTACATTTCTCTTCTCATAGTGTAATTGGATTTGGGCGATGGCGCAAAATCTTAAGTGACTAAATATTCTACCTCATATACCTGCATGAACTAGATCTCAACCGTGCAGTAATGCACTTTATCCACTCCGATATGAAATGGGGTATATCTGATTTGAATTAAATGTGGTGTAAGCTGGTCGTGCTTTATATAGACACAGACATTTTATCAGCTCGGTAAAGCCTTTAATCTTAATTATATTCATGCACCTATACTCTTACATCTCACAGCATGCTAATTATTTTTTACTATAGGTTCCTTCCACAAACAACTGTTGAATTGGTCCTTTGTTTCAGTTGGCCTCAAGTGTATAAATAATGGATTATCTTTACCAGTTGCATCGAAAAACTGCTTTTCACCACTTGGGATGTCTCCAACCGTTAATCTAGCTACTTTGGCTCAAATGGCCATTTGTGGTCCATTTCAAAAGAAGCGTCCCCCAAATAAAGCGATGAACGCGAAGCCATTCATAAAAGGGATTGTGCTAAAAACTTTTATACGTAAACCCAAGAAACCAAATAGTGCTAACAGAAAATGTGTACGTGTCCGTTTAACTGATGGTCGTGAAATCACAGCTCATATTCCTGGTGAAGGTCATAATTTACAGGAACATAATATTATTTTAGTTCGTGGTGGTCGCACACAAGACCTTATCGGAGTGAAACATAAAGTTGTACGTGGAGTACATGACTGCGCACCTGTTCGGAAACCAGGTTCAAAATAAAACTTTGTAGTAATTTAATCCATGGAACTTCAACAGTTTTTGTAAAGATAATTCGAATTTTATATTTATGCTCTTAATTTCTCACTGTCGCGAGGTGCTTTGGCAAGTCGTTATGTATTGTAAAATATCATGTTTGTAATCTTCAGTTTTTGACCCTGGATATATTTTTTAAAAATTTGAACCTTAGTTTTGCAATGGTGGAAGACTTGTAGCTCAGAGTGAGGGTAACAGCTACTTAGCATTCTTCACGCCTTGGTATTTGTAGATTAATACCGTCGAAGCTGTTTAGCCTGTTGAAAACCTATATTCAGATGGCAAAAATCAGAAGAATTCAAGAAATCCTCACCATTCTTCGAGACATGTTTATTCTGTTCGGAAGTAGTCATTCAATTTTCATCACTATTTATTTTACTTGTTTTTTAATTCAACTCAGTACTAAGTGTAGATATCTTATTCTAATAACGCAATGCTATAATTGTTAAACCTTGAGCATTTTTTGTCTTTCATTTCTATTAATCTTTCGTGGTCTGGGGAAAGCGTGTTGTATTTAGATAGTGTATTTGTAACTAACCTTTTAGTCCGCAGCAATTCACAGTATTCGGTGATCGGTTATCATGGTTCAATATGTGGGCCGGTAGAATACATGCTTCTCAACTTAGTTATGTTAAAATTCTCAAATCTTCCCAATATTTTTTTTGAAAATTTAGAAAGGCTGAACTACTGTTTGACTCTCTAATGAGTTTATTGACTATAACTCAAATAATGATAAGGATGAGTCTTATCGAATGATCTTGTAGTTACTTCATTGCAAAGCTACGTTAAACTGCCTGTTTGTAAAGTGATAATTATACTATGTATTGATGCAAATAAGCTTTACTGTATGCACGTGAAATATGTGTTGTAATCAGAAAGCAACATAGTTATGAATGTTCCAACTCTGACTTTGAAGCACCTTTCACATGTGGATGTGAACGTCATTAGATGTTAGACTGGTCGTTCGGGAGTGTTCTAGATAGAACTAAACCACTGGAGAACTAACTATTGTGTAGGGCAAGTCAATAGTATTTAAAAATTTAGTAGTCTTACAGTGAAACTTTTGTACTGCTACTGATATTGCTATTTCTTATGACTGCGGAAAAAACTTCCATTTGGTATTCGTTACTTCATAACAGGACGGGTATGTCTCAATTAAGGAAAAAAGCAGGACTGTAAATGAAGAATTATTTGTACATCAGTTACTGGTTCCACCACTGACTTACAATCGACTTTCATCTGATCAAACTGACATCAAAAATTAAAAGGAAATTCGCAGCGTTTTTAAGTATTTGATCAATGGTTAAATTTGACCTCATTGAACTGGAAGTGATTGACACTGATTGACAAATAACTTAATGCATGTATATAATTTGCCAAATCAACAACTGATTCGACTAAAAAAATGTAACTGAGTTTCATTTTTACTTTTTCCTGCCAGAAATTACCAAATAATAAGATTGGTTTTGAACAATAATCTATTTATGAGAGACTTATTCTATTTCATTGTGATTATTGACCCATATTGCCTTGATTGGTTTAAAATTTTCGTATAAATATTCATGTATATTAGAGTAAAGCCTGATGACGATCTAATTGAAAACAATTGTTCGCTTATATGTGTTGTTCTATTTATGAGTTATCTTTTATTTATTTGGACACATTGATGCAAAGGGGCACCGAATACATATACACCACACAAGTCACTTGATTCGTGTGTGGGCTGTGATACTGCCCGGGTGCCTAAACCGAAGCAGGTGATTTTCTAAGGGGGTCACACTCGGAGCCTTCGACCTCAAAGTCTGATCCACAAGGCCGTGGAGCAACGTCAGGAGATGCAGTCCCATGATAGCCGGTGACCAACAATTGGTACATACGCCATTTGTTCCTTCAGTATATTGGATCCCACGTGGATCATTTAATTTTGGATCAGGGTTTTCCAACTCCCCTAGGTAGACTCATCGTTTCCGCCAAGCTGGTTAAAGCGCTGGACATTCGCTTTTCATCCTCTCAGTTTTGTAACAACACCGGTGCCGCGAGAAAGCAGTGTGTAGGGCTTTCCTGACAGTGGCTGTATACGCGTGGCCATGTGAAAGTATTTCGAGAGGAAAAGCTAACTCTCTCCACCCTCATCCGTACCATAGCATCTAGTGGCAAGATCTTATTAGGAAAATGTCCAAATACTTGTTATTTCGCTTCTAAATTACTTAATTAATTCCTATATATTTATATCGATGGTCAGATTTTGCAGCAACCAGCCTATAAATGGTTCATTGTTGCTTACCGAACATTATTATTTATCAGGTCATTTGTAAACATGGGGATTACTTTTTATACAGGTTAAAAACTAAATAATTGATGAGGAGCAATGCCGACTTGGATTACTATTTCGAGGATTAGATAACTATCAATAACTAAATGCATAAAGATAATATTAATAAAATTTGTTTAGCCTCAGTTATTGTAATCTCATCGACTACTTGACCGTGACTGTCAGAACATGTCGCCAACAAAAAGGAATTGCAATTGCAATAGACCAAAAGTAAAAGTTGTGATGGGATTTGTTTCGTACACGTCAGTTACTAGTATTTTCTTTATTTGAAAATGGGGTTTACTATGGAAGACATCCATTTTGTCTGAAAATGACCGGTGATATTAGCGGTGTAAGCTTTTATTTGGCTAAACTTAATTACCCATATTTGTTAAAATGACCTGATCAGTATTATAAAGGTCAGTGGTAAAATAGAGAAATAGTGTTAAAAAACTACTAGGTAATTTGGATTCAGTGGAGAATCTTAACCTATCATGAGCTTTTGGGGTAGTTAACAAATTGAGTACACTTTTTAAAAGCAGTGATTTTAAACATGCTTTTTAGTAGAAAACTGAACTTACCAACTTGTTTTTTCATCTGAGTGTATTTTCATCCTACTTTATTGTATTTCTTATTATGCTTTCGTCAGGATAAACTTTTGATTGATATCCATTTTTATAAAATCTTTGTAATGAACATACTGTAACTTCATCACTTTCCCACACTATTATTTATATATTTTGTTCTGCTTACATGTACACTCGTTTTTACTGCTTGATTTTTTAATTGTAACTAATTGTCAACAATAAATGTCTGAAAACAAAACAATTATCTTTTCCCACTTTTTATTTACTGTGCATACTTCATACTGCTATTATTCTATTTTAGAGAGAGAATTCTTCAAATGTCAGGTGCTGTTAAGGTGATTCCAGATGATGAGTCTCAGCGAGAAAATTGCACAACGTCATCTGAACCAGTTTCGTTTGTGGAAAAGTCTGAGAGTAGTTACTCTTCATGTGTTCCACAGCCTGTTCCACCGAAACTTCCTGTTAATAAGTTGTATGGAATTCGAGGTATAATTGGAATCTGTCTATTGTTGTTTTCTGCGTACATTGGCTCTATCTTCTTTTTGGCTCCATTACTACCGTTGGCTATTCTGTCGCCTGTTGTATTTCGCTATTTTAGTGACTTTCTCTTAACATCGTGGCTGATGCTTGCTGAAGTAAGTATATATGTAGATATAGTTTGATGACTAAAAGATGAGATAATTACAGTACAAATTATCGCTCAGATAAAATATTTTATTTTTCAAGTATAATAGCAACAGAATACTTTAGATTCAAACATGCTATCACAGATGCTATTAGGTGTGAATAAAGCAATTAGGCATCACATCAAAACACAGTTAATTTCCCTCCGAACTGGTCGTGATGCGTAACAAATTAATAGTCGTCCTTAGTGTGAAGCGAAGTAATCCTACATTCTACAATTCAAATAATGTTTTGTTAATCCCTAATTCTATACGCTCCATTGTTTTTGTTTTCCCAGTATAAACTAGTTATCAAGAGTAAACAATTTTTTTTTAATCAATTTACTTAAATGACTAATTCTATGAATGTTCTTGAGTCATTCGAATTGTTTCATTTGCAATTCTGATTTCTAATCAACACAAATTCTTGTGAAAAAACTTATCATGTGTATATCAGCTGATATTCCTATGAAAAGAATTAGATTGACAAATGCTGTTTGTTTTTTTTGTCGAAAAAAGCTAGTAGATTTTGTTCAACCACAAACAACTTATAGATAACAAAAATTTATACTCAACAGAAGACAAGTAAGGCGAATGTAACTTCCATTTGATTATACAAAAACATTGTTGATTTTTATTGGAATCACAAACCGATCTAAGTTAGAAAACTATTGAGAGCTTGTAAACACTGGACAGCTGTTTCGTCTTAGTACGAGACTTCTGAGTGATGTACATCCACTACCTCTCAACCGAGGATCGAACCCACAGCCTTCGGTTTGGCGCACGAACAGTAGACCACTGAGCCGGCATCTAGTCGCGTACAAGTCTAACTTCAATCAATCCACTATATTGCACAACCATTTTCCTATTGTCTTTGTTAGGTACTTTCCTCATACCTGATATGGTTAAACTCCACTGGTCACGGCTTCTGACTAGAACTCCAGAAATCTCCTCTCGTGGATTGATTAAAGTTAGACTTATACTCGATTAGATGCCGGCTCAATGGTCTACAGGTCAACTGTTAGTGCTTGCAACAGAAGGCTGTGGGTTTGATCCCTGGTTGTGGGATATTGGATACAAACCACTTTGGAGTCCTGTACTACGACGAAATAGCTGTTCAGTGTTTACAAGCTTTCGATGATTGTCTAATTTATATTGGTTTGTGATTTAAATGAAATTTAACAATCTCCACAATCCTATACTAGGAATAAAACTGTCGTTGGCGTACTTATATTCATCCATACAAATCATCAGTATTTTTGTTTCCTGAATTCTGATTTATTAGCATCCGTCCGTTTATTGATTTTACCGATTGTTTGATTTTGCACATATTCCGCATTAACTGTCTTATATTTAACTAAGAAAGAAATCATATACTGTATCACAAACCCACTGTAATTCTTCCATTGTAATTGACCGCTTGAATTAAGCGACCCTAATTTTTTAGAATTCGTCAGTTGAAACCTTGATTCCCTATTGGTACCGTTTATCCGTCTATTTCACTCGGTATGAATGACTTCCGATTTATTGTATAATCATGTATATGGTTTTTGAATTCTAAGTCCGACTCAAACATTATATTCATTGGATTCAATCATGGATTCGCCATTCTTATTGCGCTCCTAAATCTAACATGCCATGTTAATGTTGACCACAGTCTGTCCTGTAATTGTTTTAGCTCAGTTCTTTTTAAAGCTGAATTGGTTTGAGGATTTCCTACTCATTCTGTGTACATGTTACCCACTGGTGTTTGTACAGTCAGTCACTATCATCACCCCCCCTCTATTCCATGTAACTCATATCTCAGTGTGTAAACCTATATGTAGCTGATAGTCATCAGAGAAGATTGTTTGAAATGGTTAGTTGTTAGTATCTCGATATTATTAATCTTTATTTTTACGTCGTATTCAGGTTGTAAATTAAAAAACATGTCTCACTGTTTCATCTAACTGTCTATTCTTAAAATTTGTCGTAAGTAATAGGGAAGCCGTTGATTTGTAATCTGTATATATTGGTCAAATCTCCCGGATGAAGTTTTATCGCACTGGAGAAATGTTTATTTTTTCTGCAATGTATTATTTAGCTTATGGAATTCAATGATTACTATACTCATGCACTATAACAGTTCAGAATATGATGTCAAATATAAGCCAAAGTAACTCCAACATCATTGAATGCCATTTAAAGTTGTGTGTATAATCAAACCAATGTATTATTTCGATAATGATATTAGAAGACGAGGATTATCAGATCTATGTGATATATTAACGCAATACATTTCGAACAATCTGGTCACACATATACTTGTTAAGAGCATTTATATATATGTATTAGTATATGTGTGACCAGATTGTTCGAAATGTATTGCGCTAATATATCACATAGATCTGATAATCTTCGTCTTCTAGTATCATTATCGAAATTTATCAAAGGGACTAATTGTTTTAATGTATTATCGTTTTTAGTTTGTAATACTCAAAATTCTTGGTTGTCGTATCCGTCATTTTGGTGACCGAGTTATACCATCCACCACTACTAAATCCCATAGCTGTCTCTTTCTGATCAATCACCGGACGCAATTAGATTGGTTTTTCGTGTGGGGCTTAGGTGATCCAATTCAGCGTATGAAAATAATTCTTAAGGATTCTCTTGCGAAAGTTCCAGGTGCTGGTTGGGCAATGCAATGTGGTAGCTTTATATTCCTACGCCGGCGTATTGCAACAGATCAACAGCGATTACAAAAAATTGTAGAATATTTACTCAAAGTTAAACAGAGTTGTCAAGTACGTAGTGTTTATTTTGAGTATGTGCTTTATTGTGTCTGCATACTTTTACTGCTATTCCTATAGGTCCTTGTCGGGGTCGTGGATATGAAGTCTTACAATTCCCATACTTCAGTAAAGCAGTGTTTCATAGTTCTTTAATTTTCATTGGTTGTCTAACTAAGGTCAACTCTTTTAACCACGAGGATTACGAAACAAACCCATTGTCATCATGTTGTCGAATCCACACAATCGACCAAAGTTGACTGTGAGTCGGTTCGTCAGTAATACAACTTATTAACTATTTTCAGTTGACAAAGTTGTTAAACCTAACGAAAACTATTTTGAAGTGTTAAGGTGGATCGTAGAACAAGTGTGGTAGAAGAGTAGCAATACTTATTATTTCACACAGTGTCTCATGCAGGCCAAAGTTTCTTGCTCCATGTGTGACTAAAAATGTGGTAGACTCTACTCACAGATTTGTAAGTAGTATGTAGCGGAGCGTGGCCTCGAAGCTGTCGCAGTCGTCAGCCAGAGAGAAGAGTCTCAGTATATCAAAAGCACGGCGTAGTCAGAACATTTGAAGACTAGATGAGAAGGCAGTTCGGATTTCACACAAGATGCTAATGAACGATTGAAGACTATATGTACGTATTATATAAATACTGTAATTTCCCACAATAATTATCAGTTCATTCCTTCTGCTCATTGTCTTGTTCCACAAAAAAATTATCTGTTTATTTTCCTATGGAATGAATGTTTTTACTGTTTCATTAAAAATTGTTAACAATACACTATGGAAAAACACAATTAGTGCATATATGATGGAGAAGATTTGTAGCTCAGGTGGATGATTTTGATAAGGTTTTGTCCTCTGAACTGGATGGTTTGGCCGTGGAGCTTTCATCATTCTTCTGATCGTTCAGAAGGATGACCAAACCATCCAGCTCAGCGAACAAAACTCCAGCATATATGATTTAAATATTACAAAGAAAAATTTGACAAAATTTTACATTAGCCGTTAAAAACTTGACATTAATTAGTGTCACTTACCACTCGTAAGACCACAACTCTATATTTCCTTAAACTCAGAAAAGATAATTTCAGCTGGACTTACACAAATCTTTATCGTATTGCTACAATAGAAAAAATGGGATTATTTATGTCTAACTAATACAACACTTCACATATTATATTGCTTGGTTGGTTGCTAGCAACAAGTCAACTGATATATATTGCTTTACTGATGTGATTTGAAGTATGTATGAATATCATATATTATCCGTAAACGTTAAACATCTCTTTCTTCACGATGAAGTCAACAAATTGTCACATTCCGGTTTTTGTTTAATGGATGCTCAATACTGCTTTTTCTTCCATTACGTACTATTACAATACAATGAGTACTAATTATTATTACAACTCGACAACTGTTTACAGATTAATTTTTAAGTTGCGAGTTGCATCTGCTCAGTGAAAGCTGTCAAACTGTTGTTATGTTAAAGTACAATGCGAATGGGTAATGTAGTGATTAAAAGTCGATTGCTTAAACCATGTCACCAAGTTTATGCGCTAAATCAACACATCTTGCGTAAGTTACATATGTTCAGTATGCTGAACTCAATGAATCTAACACAAAGTCAACTACTAAATAAGGATGTGATCAGATAGAAATCATTAAATGGTGTTATAGTTTGTCATTTTGTTTACATTTTTGTCTTGATTTTAAATTAGTCAATGGGTAATGATGGATATTGTTTAACTAAAATATCAAGTATTGACTATATTCACCTCAGCGTTTCATATGATGCTACCTATTTATGAACATAGAAAATTGACCGTGTTTGTACCACTTAAGTGAACTAGAATAATAAAGTTAAAAACACTAATCGGTAAAGCTTGCTCTCAAGTTTTAATGTTCACTGTAAAAATCAGTTTGTATTTTATTGTTACTCCCTATGAAAATTCAATTAACGTAGCCCAAAGAAAGATAAAGATGTGGTACGGCTCGATTTTTCATAGGAAATCGTTTTTTGTTTCTTACAGGATTACTGTACGATCATCTGTTTAAACGTTTATTCTACTAGAGAGTGAGGTAATATCAGATTAATTTCCACGATATTCAGTGATCAATGAATGCCCATTCGTTCCTTCAAGGTCCTAGAGCTGTAAACATTCGATCTTGACAGACATGACATTGATCACCACCCATTGATCAATCATTTGTGATTACATCTTAGTCCCGGATAGCTCAGTGTTACCGTATCTGACTGTGAAGCTGGGTGACACGGGATCGGATCCGTCAGGGAGCACCAGTTTCCTCAAGATTACAAGTACACCTTGCTGACGAGTGCCAAGTTGCACGAAACCCGGGTCCAGGGTTTCCTGTCGACTACCTCCATTTACCATCTAATTACAGTGGAAATGTACATCTTCATCTACAACCCCCTGTTTTTCATAGTTGAGTAAATTGTAACTACACAACTTTATTACTATATATACGTATATGAAGTAACTGAAGTGACAATAAGTATATTTGTACACTGTCCATGCTTAGGTATGGTTGATTGATTAAATCCTTCCAGTTAAGTTAATACTAGTGGATAGAATAAACGAAATATGTCACTGAATAAACTAGTAAAGGCTAACACCAAGTGCAAATAATTATCTCTGATTGTGGTGTGATATGCCAAACAGTAGACAAATGAAGGTCATTTGAAGTAAGGATGTCGGAACATGGTCAAGGACAATATTAGTTAAAAATAAAGTTAGTAATGTTAATTTCACCACAAGCTAGCTAATCTGTGTTACCGAATCATTAAAAGTTAGAGAACAATGAACAGCTGTTTTCTTGTTGCTGTAGGACTCGTAAGCTGTCGTCAATCAATAGTAAAAATTACTTTAAACTACGCAAAACCTTTAGAAAATGTACGAAATGTATCCGAATATGATTAGATTGAGAAAAATGACTGTAATAAAACAGTTTTTATACTCACTAACATCTTTATACCCCATAGTTCCCTTCATACTTCTCAACATTTTATCTCTTTGATGTTCTGTATTTTTTCTCTTGCTAACTATCATGTAGCATTTGAGGTTTCATTCAAATTTCATTCCTCTTATTATTGTTTTAGCTCATAGGCTACTCTCATTCACAGTAACTTTCATTCATCTACTTTTAAAAAAAAACCACGATATTGTCCTGCACTTTGTAACTATATCTTTGAACTCTAGTCTCTTTTCTTCCTTTCTCATCGATCTGATGAATAATCTACTTATCATATTCAGTAGCACCATCATTTATTTTTGACCGTAGTTTACTTATAAGTTCCAAAAATCTTCATTCAGCAACTTTTACTTTAATTATGTAACAAAACCAACTGTTGTGTTATATTTAGCCTTTTGAGGATTTTCGATACTATATGTAGGTATTTCATGTTTCCGATTGTCAAACTGTGTAGAGCAATTGAATTCTTAGGTCATATTTAAATATCGCGCAAAAAAATTCTACTCGATGAGTAACAGTAATATGCTAACATACATCCTGGCTGACGAATCTTAATCAAGACAAAACTCATGTCCTAGATTTGATTGCTAGCTATAATCCAGCTTTGCTGAAAATTAATAAGTCATTCCACTAATAAAGAGCATCGATAACAAAGTCATTTGTCGTACAATCCCATTCTTCAGGTTCTCGTTATAGTGAGTAACTTCAAAATTATTCTCGAGTTTCCAATGCGAAGCTATAATCACAAGTGTTGGGTTCAATACGTGGCTGTGTCCGCACTACTGAAAAATCTCAAACTGGGACAAAACAGATATCTATTTCTTGATGGCTTTTATTGGTTATTTAGGTAAATCGGTGTGTGACACAGACGTATATATAGTGTTTTGTCCGGTGTTTTCTACCTATGAAGGAATTCACTAATCATGAAGTTACTTTTCTCTTTCTACATATTGTTAGTATTGTAATCTTACTGTAAAAAGTCAGCTTGTTCATTCAATTCTTTTCTATTGACTATTTGTTTCGCTTGTTGTTTCTTCTAGTTGTTAATCTTTCCTGAGGGCACAAATTTGAGCAGTACTTCGTTGGAGAGAAGTGACAGTTACGCGAAGCGAAATAACTTACCATGTGTTCGTTATACACTTCATCCTAGAAGTACTGGATTCTTGCATTTAGTGAAATTGATTGGCTTAGGTTAGTTTGTTAATATCGTTTTTTTTTCGAATAAACAAATAAACGAATGATTTGGTTGAAGAGGTTTTTTGGAGTCTAGTTTAATTTGTAGGTTGTATTCGTCTCAGATCGATCTCACTTGCCGTACAATGGAAAACCAGGGTGTACCGTACAGCTACTTCGTTCTAGTAGTGTACAATCCACGAAAATAGGACCTTCAGGACTCGAGATAGGGTGCTTGAACATTAGATTGGTATCTAATTAGATAATAATTTTAATTTGCCTTCGGTCCTGCTACACTGAATACGAGTTATTTTAGAAAGGCTAGTTTCATGTTAAGGATGACATGTTGAATATATTGTTCACTTAGCTGTAAGTTGACGATGAGTGGATAGATATTAGGTATTTCAAATCAAATGTTTAACATGGCTTAGTCATAGTTTGACAATCAATCAGTTTAACATCTGAATCTATTGAGCATTGACATAGGAATGTAATAAACATGGTATATTTGCTGAAAACGTCTTATTGTACTTAAAGTTGTTTGATTCATTTGTTGTAATTGTTTCGTTTCACTCAAAGCGAATGATTTTGTACAGTCACATCTATTCGAATGTAAATAGATACTTTGTCTCTTTATTTTGTATATTTTTTCAAGGTTAAAAAGCGTAGGCTTCACGTGGTATTTTTCTACCAGTTTTTTAAGATTCTGTGGCTATAGTTATATGATCAAATTATTTGGTTTTTGTGTATTTCAAGTCAACTTGATGGTGTAAGGTAAGGTAAGGTCTCAACAAGTGTGTAGCTAACACAAAAATTACCCGTAAAAAGGTCGTGTGTGACCGACTTCATGCAGTTGTCCCTTGGGCACTGCGGTCACGATCCCAGGTCACTAAGACCACCTCTAATCCAATTTTTTTTTCAGGTACCTCCAGAACAACCCTTCCACGGTGTGGGCAACTGGGAAGTGATAACCGCCCTCATACCTCTAACAGCACTCAAGACCACTGTATTCATAATCAACCTCCCCCTTCAATTCCTATTATTCCTCCTTCATCGACTTTCAACATTAAACGTCCTCTTTCGGCTTCCCCCCTCAAGTGTCACCATAGCCAATGATTCTAGTGCGCAAAACACTGTCCCAGGTCTACTGAAACCTCGCTCCAAACTACACATTGGAGCCTTCAACGTACGCACCCTATGTCAAATCGGTCAACAGGCTTCCTTGGCTAGAACCCTAGAGTCTCTTTCCATTGATGTATGCTGTGTCTTTGAAACACGCATATAGGATCCCAGTGTGGTCATTCACTTGACCTCACCTCGGCAAAACGGAGAGCCAACGAGATACACCCTCTGTGTATCTGGTGATCTGATGGTTAGTTGTCGTGGACTGGCAGGTGTAGGCATAGCACCAAGTACGAGGGCAGGACAAGCACTAATAGAATGGATCCCCGTTACTAGTCGCCTATGTGCTGTTTGGCTGAACGGCTCCGTAAGAACTCGGAAGGATAGGGACACACGTCGTTGCCTTTTTGTCATTCCTGCCTACGCTCTCACCGACTGCAGCTCAGATGAAGTGAAAGATGAATTTTACAGAAAGCTTTCTGAACTTCTTCAGAAAGCTAAACGTTCAGACATAATACTCGTAGGGGGTGACTTTAATGCCCAGATATGTAGTTTAAACCAAACAGAAAGGCATTTAGGTGGGTATTTTAGTATTCCAGCACAACGAACAGATAATGGTGATCATCTGCTACAACTGTGCTCAGATAATCGTTTATTTTTAGCAAACACAAATTTTAAGCATAAGGAGAGACATCGTCTGACATGGCGATCCCTTACACCAAACCAACGATGAACTCAAATAGACCATATTGCCATCAGTCATCGTTGGAGAGGGTCGGTAGAAGATTGTCGCTCATTCTGGAGTACCTGCTTGGACTCCGACCACGCCCTAATACGGGCACGCATCTGCTTGCGCCTCACTGGACGCAAAAAAGCCACAGTAAAAAGACCCATTAGAACTGAATTGAGCAGCTAGTAAACCAAAAATAGGTTCCAGGAACAACTGAGGTCACAATTAGGTAGTTCTGAAAACGAGGCTGACCCAGGTGTTGCTTGGAAAGCTATACAAACAGCTGTGGAAACAGCAGTGAAATCTGTCAGTGATTTAAACCACAGGGTTACAAAGAACCAATGGATTTCCTCTAGGTCTATTGCACTGATGGATTCTCGTAAACTCATCCCATCAGGCTCTAAACACGATGAAGAGCGACAACAAATCAGATCTAGGTTAAGTAACAGTCCAACGATACTCTCATCTGCTCCCAGTCCAGACGTTTAGAACGATAGGCGGAACATTTCAGAGAACAGTTTAACTGGCTTTCAGCTACTCTACAACTACCCTCCATTCCCATACAGTGTGAATGGAACATTGAAGTAGGTCCCCCAACTCTTTCTGAAGTTCAAAAGGCTATAGTTAACCTGAAACGAGGAAGGGCAGCTGGTCCAGATGGACTGGCTCCAGAGGTCTTTAAGGATGGTGGTCCAATTTTAGCGATTAGGTTGACTAATATTTTAGCTAAGATCTGGTAGTTAGACGTTATCCCATCTAACTGGTCACAATCACTTATCGTCCCAATATATAAGAAAGGGTCAAAATCATCCTGTGACAACCACAGAGGGATTAGTTTAACTAATATAATATCTAAAATACTAACCTCAATAATTATCGGACGCTTAAAAGAGACTCGTGAACTGCAAATACGAGAAAAAACAGGCTGACCTCAGACCTGGTCGTGGCTGCATCGACCACATAATCACCATTCGTCAAGTTCTAGAACACAGGGATGCTTGTCGGCGTCCGACAATGATAGATTTTGTTGACATGAAAGCAGCATTTGATTCTGTAGACCGCGAGACTCTGTGGCAGTGTCTGTCATTGAAAGGCGTACATCAGAAGTACATAAACCTTGTGAAGGCTCTTTACTCGAACACTACTAGTCGAGTCAGGGCTTATGGCGAACTGTCATCTACTTTTGCAACTTCAAGTGGTGTCCGTCAAGGCTGTCCACTTTCCCCATTTTTGTTTAACTTCATCATAGATCTACTGATGGAAATAACATTCTCGTCGACTGAATTCTCGGGTATTGATCTCCATCCAGGAGGTTCACTTATCGACTTAGAATACACAGATATCATAATCCTGTTTGATAAAGACTAATAAAATGCAGGGTCTTTTGTTAGTTTTGAGCAACAATGCCAGGATGTTTGAGATTCGTTTCTACCTCTCCAAATGCAAATTGTTGCTTGAGGACTGGCCTGTGTCAACACCTGAACTAAGGATAGGGAGTGACAATTTCACTTATCTTGGAAGTCTGATCAGCCCTAATGGGTTGGTATCGGACGCAATCTCAGCACGGATTCGAATATCTCGTTTGGCTTTTGCCAACTTACGTCACCTATGGCGAGGGCAAGATATCCGTCTATCAATTAAGGCCGAGTATATTGCTCGGTAGTTCGTTCTATTGTACTTTGAGGCTGCGAAATGTGGCTATTAAGAGTAGAGGATACTCGTAAGTTACTAGTATTTGATCACAGATATCTTACAAATATTGCTCGTGTCTACTGGGATCACTAGTTAAGTAATATTGAGGTTAGATGCAGGGTATTTGGGAATGATGGTAAATCGGTTGATGAGGTTGTGAATCTTCATCGACTGAGATGGTTGGGCTACGTGGTACGTATGCCTGAACACTGATTACCACAGTGTGCAATATTGACTAGTGTTGGAGACGGATAGATGAGAGTTAGGGGCTGCCAAACCAAAACGTGGCATCAGTCCATAAAGTCACTAACTTCTAGTCTGAGCCCTGTTGGTAGATGCAGACTACTTGGTTGGCGTCCGCGCAACTATCATAACCAGTGGTTGGAAACTCTGGGTGACATGGCTCAGAATCGATCATAATGGTGTAGGTGTATACACTCCCTGTCTTCCCTTAAACTAAGAGATTAAAATCACTTTATTTCTTTCTTTCTACGAACTAATTCTTTCTTCCTGTACTGTATCCTTATATGCAATCTTTCTTTTGTATACTACTGCTATTGAAGTAACTACTTTATGAATTTGGTGTTCATCATATTGTGCTAATGACGTATGGCAACTTGGACGATGCATATATGTGTCTGGTCCTACGTTGTAGCTGACTGACTGACCTATTGGGGAATTGTCATCTAGATGTACCTGGACCGCAATATTGATATTCTCATAAAGATTTAAAAAGATTTGTAGTTCAGGTGAATGATTTGGTAGAGTTTTGTTCTTTGAGCTGGTTAGTTCGGTCGTGGAGCTTTCGTCGTTCTTTTGAACAACATCATCAGCACAAACTTCAAGTAGAAATAGTGTCCGAACTCCTCTTGATTGATTATTGTTGACGTTTAACTTGTCATTGTTTAATTTTTTATTTTTATTGACTTTCCCATTGATTTGATTCTTGGTCCTGTATTTGTCCATGATTTTTCTAATTGGTTGATAGATTGGATTGCTTTTAATGTGTATGTTGATTGCTGATTGACTTGAGTGCCAAGCTTTTCAAATTCTCTGGTGCTAATATTATTCCCTTTATTAAATATCTCAACATATTTCTAGTCGAATGTGTGGCCGCAATTATTCACATGTATTTATATAAACGAAGATATTTCATGGCGTTTGACCGCTAATTGATGTTCATGTAGGCGAAAATGAAGAGAGTATCCACTTTGTCTAATATAGTGTTTTTCGCAGTTTTCACAATTTATTTCGTAGATGATGTTCAGTTTTTCTTTTGTCATTTCACCATTTCTAGGACCGATAGTTGTAAATCCTTACTGCCTAGGATTTACATTAGGGTGAAACTGTCGTCCAGTGCTTCTATCAAACATGGTCTAGCTAAAGATCAGTTTTTTTATAAAAAAAATTAAATTGTAAAAGCATTAATAATGATCATTTTAAGAAATGATTATATGTATGCGATTGTACAACATTGAAAATGAATGAATCAAAAAGAGATCTCTCTACTGAACCAATCTTTTTTTTAATTTTATCTCCATTGATGTATATTTCGTTTATAATTACTTTTATCTAAACTGTTTTTTTATCTAATAAATTTTCCAAAGATGATACTAATTAGAACGAATAGTTTGAGAGAAATTGGGCGCCGAGTATAGAGAAGTCATTATATGTGAAAATTATTATTTGAAATAATCTCAGCAACTGGTGATTTTGATTATTATCCTGAAGAAGTCTAGACAAGTTAGCTAGACAAAACGTTGGACTTATTTTAAATTTCAATCACTGAGATTATTTCAAATAATAAGTTTCATATATAATGGTACTGATTAGTTTAGGTATTTGTTGTTTTGTTTTGTACTTACAAATGATTTTTGCGTAAAAATATTATTGTGTTTTTCACTCTTTTTTTTACCACCAAATCATGTAAATTAAGTGATGCAACATAAACTAAACTCGTGAATTAAGTGAATATTTTAAGATTAATTAAGTTTTTTTTTAATTAAAGTTTTTCATTATAACAGTAATAATAAAGTAATTTTTGTTTAAATTAACATGATGTGATGATATATTCTGTCGAAGAGGATGATACAAATATTATTTACATTGAATAACTAACATATCATTTTTATAAATTATTATGTCACATGTACTTGAAGTATTGTCTATTCTATTGAATTAGAATTCACTATGGTTACACATTATGATTGAAGGTTTGATTTAATGATACCTTCGCTAAAATTAATTAATAGAATATAGATATGACACTAGTGACCACTTTATCTAGCTAAATTAATTTTTTATTTATTGTTATATTACATATTTATATCTCTGCATGTATATATAGCCATCTGTTTCGGTTTGGTCACCCAAGCAGTATCACAGCCCTCACACATATCGAATGAGATTTGTGTGGCGCATATGTATTTGGTGTCTCCTTGTACCAATATCTATGTGGCAAAATAATAAAAAAATGTATATATAAAATGATTTATCGAAGAGAACCTGAGAATATGTATTTTTCTTCACAATGATTATCAACTATTTATTTGCATAGTATTGTGTAGGAATTTACCGAAAAAAAGATGAATCTTCGCCAAATCCATCGTTCTTGTTTTTATACTTCAATGGATGCTATCTGTTTTATTTTTTAAACATATATCCTATTGTAGCAGGGACATTTTGTTTAGAATATGGTGTTCAATTTAGTGGTAAGAAATTTCTATCGTTCGAGTAATTATCTTGTCGATATCCATTTATAAATAATAATATTACAATACGTAATACTCAGTGTAAATATTCGTTCGCAATGGCTCAGGTGCATTTACTATTTGTCTTCCCATACATCCTAGTTCCCTAAATCACACCATAAGAATGGTTTTTGATTCGCATTATCTTCATGAACCATGTATTCGGTGTCTAATGTTTTCTATTTCAATGGGGTTTTGTTCTCTGAGCAGGATGGTTTGGTCGTGGGGCCTCTATCGTTCTACTAAACGTCATCAGCGCAAACTTTAGGTAGAAGTTTAAGGCTCCACGACCAAACCATCCAACTCAAAGAACAAAACCACCAAAATCATCCACCTGAGTTACAAATTTTATCCACCACCTTCACTATTCCACTAATGTTGTTACTACCTTTACTATACCTGCATTTGCCCTGGTAGTTTCGTTTCTATGCTAAATGGGGTGTGCTAGGTTCTTCTTTGCATATGACTGACTGAATATAAATCGGTAACTGAATATAATTTAATAATAATAATGATAATAACCAGGATAATAGTTTTGTTCACTACTAGAAATTTCGATGCAGTAAGGAATTCTCGGCTTCAGTTGTGCAGCATTGTAATAAGTTTCTTTTAACACATTCACATTTCAACTATCAAAAAATTACATTTTATAGGTTTTTTTTTCAAGTAGCATCTTTTATTTATCCGTAATGGGTGAAGGTTTACTATTTCACTTCTTTTAGTAAAACTATCCTAATCAGATATTGAATGTGTAGGTTGCAGTATATTCATCTGTCTTTTTTTCTCAAATGGTTGACAAGAAGGACAATATGTTAATAGGCGCAGTGTTTCATTTTGAGATTTCCAGTATTTAGCATCGCGTTGGCCTTGCATAATACCACATGAATACACGCAGATAAGGTTCATAATTATTTGATTGGAACAGTATTTGTACAGTTATAAAATAAGTGGCTCAAACATTTGAACTCGCCATAAAAATTCAAGCTATGCGGTTTTTCGTATAAGGATTAGTGATACTGCTATATCGCGAAAATGGAAGTGGGTTAAAGGCAGTTAAAGACGAAATTCTTATCTACTTAGTAATTTTCACAAATTTAACTTATGTATATAATGATAATAATACGCTTATTATATCGATTCAATAGTTTTAATGTACACTTTTAGAGCAAATTGTGTAGGTCATTATGGAACAACAAATAATATGATTGTCATTACTATATAGAATCAATGGGATGTAGCTAGTTATGGAATCCAGAACGCGCGTTTCGTCCTACCTAGGACTCGTCAGTTATAGTTGATGTTCACTCCGGAATTTAAACTGAGTACCTTCCACCTTAAACACCAATGCGCTATTCATTTAGCTGTAGAGTCCAGACATCCGCTCAATTGTACAACGGGTATATTTTGTCATTTAATTTGTAATGATTTGAATATCCCGCTGTTTAGATTCCAGTCAAAATATCAATGACAAGATAATCGCCAGACCATTATAACATTCATTATTATTATTATTATTATTATTATTATTATTATTATTATTATTATTATTATTATTAATCAATTTTAGTGATAGATAATAATTTTCTTTAATCATATTCTACTTCTAGTTACATACACCTTATATTTACTTCTCTTATCGTTTTTTTTTAAAGAAAATGTGATATGTACTTTTTACAAAACTTGAATAGCATGACTATTAAGTAATTGCATTGTCAGATTGTGTTAATTGTTTTTATAATCATCATAGCTTATATGGTAACACGTTTTTTCTATCAGTATGACCAGTTTGAATATTCTCCACACGATAGTCGGTCATTTGTTCCCTTGGGTTTTCAGATTTTAAAACGATAGTTGGACACTTTTATTACACAATTTATTTACTTATTTGAACACATAAATATTGGTACAAAGGGGCACCGAATACATATACACCACACAAGTCACTTGATTCGTGTGTGGGCTGTGATACTGCCCGGTTGCCCAAACCGAAGCAGGTGATTTTCTTAGGGGGTCACGCCCGGAGCCTTCGACCTCAAAGTCTGATCCACAAGGCCGTGGAGCAACGTCAGGAGATGCAGTCCCATGATAGCCGATGACTAACAATTGGTACATACGCCATTTGTTCCTTCAGTATATTGGATCCCACGTGGATCATTTAATTTTGGATCAGGGTTTTCCAACTCCCCTAGGTAGACTCATCGTTTCCGCCAAGCTGGTTAAAGCGCTGGACATTTTCTTTTCGTCCTCTGAGTTTCGTAAACAGCATCCCCGTCACGAGAAATCAGTGTGTAGGACTTTACTTACATTGGCTGTATACGCGTGGCCATGTGAAAGTATTTCGAGAGGAAGAGCTGACTCTCTTCATCGTTCATACCTGGACATTTGGGAGCTGGGTGTTTCATGTATATGTGTGATGGGTCACAAGTTGAACTTAGTCTGATTCTCAGTATGTAATTTAATGTTTATGTAATGAGAATGTCATTATTCAAGAAAACAAACATTCATCCGTAGGAATATTTATGTTTATTCATTATCATTGGATAACTAGAATCAGTTCGTGATTTAAACAATGAAATTTCTACAATATTTTCACCCCCTCTCTATACTAATAATCATGTGGTCGCTAAGGTGTGATTCCTGGAGCTGTGACAAGTTGAGTTCAACTACGTCGGGTTTGAGGCAGTTATTCACCAATGGAAAATAGTTGTATAGTATCGTAAATTGAATGTTGACTACTGCGTACCAGCTCAGCAGTAGTTTAAGGGTTAAGGGTGCTCGTGAGAGAACGAAGTTTGTGGGTTCAGTCCTCTGTGATAGGATTTTGGATGCACACTAGTGTGGAGTTTCATACTAAAGCTAAGTAGTTATCCAATGCTTTATCGTTTTCACTTGTGATCTAGATAAAATCGGTTCATGTTTTATACTATAAAAATAATAGACACTCAATTATCTGAATTATTGGTTTATAATTTGAAATTCTTGCTATGTCTTTTTTATTTTTGCCTATATCTTGTAACAGATCATCTAACTGAAGTATATGATGTCACAGTAGCCTATCCAGATATTTTACCGTCACCGGAAATTAATCTAATTTATGGACATATTCCACATGAAGTGCATTATCTTGTTCGCCGTTTCAATTTAAGTGATTTACTGGACATCACAAATGATAATCGAAAATTAGACGAAGAAACAAATGATAAATTGTCAAAATGGTTACAAAATCGTTGGTTAGAAAAAGAAAATATTTTGAAAGAATATTATGGTTGGTTTACTTTATGAATTAATGTTTTACATATTATTGATTTTATATTGTATATAGACATTATGTATATCGATGTATGATATGCTTTAAAAGTTGTTTAAAAATGGGAAATAGATGCCAGTTTAACTAGTTCAAGTCTAGACGTTAACCAATCAAAGAGAACTAATCATTTTATTGATTAGACATATACTCAAATGAATCGTTTAAATAATAGACATAAAATAAGTTATTATACAATATGATTTTCCTCTCCCTATAATTTTTTAAACATTTCAAGAAATGTAAAATTTAAAAAGAGACGTTATTCATAGATAATCAGCATTCTTAAAGGATAAGTTTATTTTGTACTAAGAGCTGGGAAAAAGATGAGAATATAAAAAGCATTTATGTCTACCAGTTTTTGCTATTCAGGGTTGCATAAACATCAACACTGTATTGAGCTGTCGAATCTCACATAGGATTACACGCTTTTTCTAGATTCGACTACATGGTACAGTTCAGAAATCGAGATAAGAATGAAATAGTGTTAACTATTAATAGTATTTGTTTTCATCAATGCTAATTACTTTCTTTTTTTTCGAATAAAAATAATTATTTGGTGCCTTTTTGTGATAGTTTGTGTATTTTTAATGATTACATGAAAAAAACGTGGATCGAACAACTGGTCTATGTATGATTAAAGTTATAGCAGTCAAGTCTAGATACACATGTAAACTTAATAAATATTCATAAATTACTTTCATATCTAAATGTATATGGACTTAAATGCTTCACAGTTGACTGTCAGTCTATGAAGTCATTCACTGTTGGTTTGAACCATATGAGTCGACTCAGACTACGAGGTTGAGCTCTGCAAGGTAACTGCGATTAGTGATTGGAGACTTTAGGTGGGATGAATCAAAATCATTCTCTAATCGCATGGCGACATTCACTCTTTTCCTTCATCTCGTTCTCGGATTTTTGTATAACTTCGTGCATACCTTTCCACTCTGTCTTCTCGATTCATATTTTCAACGTTTTATCTTTCTTTTTATCATTGCTATTACAATATTTCGAAGCAGCGACTCATGTCCGAGGTTTAAGTTGTTCTGCTGACTACTAAGGTGTTATAACAGCGTTGCGGGAATTGCAGTGGTTTCTCGTTTAATCGATTCCGACATAAAAATCAGGGACTACCAGACATTACATTTGGCGACTCAGTTACAACAGACCTAATATCTTCAACCATCAGTGCTTCATCCATTGAACTACTGAGTCTGGAAAGCTAGTAGCTGATGTATCCTAAGCGGGTTGCCTTTATATTGGTATTTAATCACAGGCTTATATTAAGGTTGGGTAGTGTCATTATCGTAGCTCACCACTCAGGATGTACATATGCTGATACAGATTGGTCGATTGGATTTTTTAATATGAATAACAGGGAAATACAAATCTTTACAAATATTATAATTATAGTTATCACTACTATTCATCGTTAACAAACATTCAGTCAGTAGTATATATGTGTACTCACTTTTTTTTAATTTTACAGATAATCCTATTGGCAAACGCTCATTTCAAAATGAAATAACACCTGATAGTCTAGTATTCTATGTGAATTCGTCAGATAAGATAATGTTCACTTATTTGGGTTTATTCAACACTGGATTTTGGTTTCTATCCATGTTCAGCTTAGTGTATCTGATTTGTACTACATTCTATATTCAGATTTATTTTATCACAATTCAGTTGTTGTTTACTTATTTCACTTATTACACAAATGGTGTTAATATATGGGCCACTAAATGGATTAGTAATTCTGTTAAAGGTGAATACAACGAGATCAATGATACTACTTTTAATGCTACTACTGCTAATAATAGTCATGATAATAAACATGATGATGTTGATAGTAATGCCAATAATGTCTTTATGCATTCAGTTCAATATGAAGGTGTTGATCAGAATAGAAAAGCTACTTAAAATCACATTGTTGTTGCACTATAAACACAAAGTATAGATAATGTGAATCCAATATGTCGAGCTGTTTTGTTTGTTGTTGTTTTTTCTTTCTGAAAGAAATAACTACTCATTGAATTCATCTTCACATTCATACTACTTGTTCTGCCTAATTTTCGTCTCTTTCTCCATCGTTTGTCTACCGTCATCGTCAGTTAGTATTAATCATTTCAATTCATTTTTTTTTTTAATTATGTGAACTTCCCTTTTTTCATCACAAATATCTATATTATTATATTCTCTTTTCTGTTATTCATTTGATACCTACAATTAGTTGTCAGTTGGATGACTTTAATTATTTATTTATTTGCGATAATTTACTGTACCCTGTGCAAGTTATTTCCTCTTTTTTCTAATTCATTAATTATTTGGGACTTCTCTATGTGTGGATTATTTCATTTATTTTCGTTCATTGTTATCGATATTGATTAATTGAAATTTAGATCAGATGTAACATCGAAATCGTACATACATTTATTTTCATAAACTTAATTTACAACATATAGATATTATCATTTGTGCAAGCATGTTTTTTTTCTTTATTGAACAACTTCATTTTTCATTTAAGTATACGTTGATCTTTTGAATATATTCTTCTTCTATATGTATTGATTGAAAACTCGAGTACTTTTAGTTTAAGAATAATTGATTTCAGTTAACGAATCTATTGTGAATCGCGAGGTGGCTACTCTAATTCTACCGATTGGTCAGCTTCAGATATCCCAATACGACCCCAATACTGTTACCCAATCTCCAATATATCAGAACACGAACCGTAGATGAAAAATTGTTATGTGGTCAGGAGCAGAATAATGATTTACAAACGAATGCATATTCATACAGTTACGATTACTATAAATATTGACCAACCGAAAAATGATACGTGAAATAATATTGACCAATGGGAAAATGACACGCGAAATAAATATTGATCAGTAGGGAAACGACCAATAGGAAAATGACACCATTTAACGTTCAGGGGTAGCATTAGACTTAACCGGATAATTGTTTTTGGGATATTTTTCTGAATATCCCAATAGAATCAAATCCTAACTAATGTCATCTTACACCCTTTCTATTTCATGTGTACGGTTATGATAATGACAACAGAAACAACTGTTTAGTAATATTTATGACACTACTTAGAAACAAACAATATGAAATATGCAATGCACTTCAACGTTGCTAGTACCGTCACTATACAGCCAACGGCAATTCCTAACATTAATGTGAAATCATCTATAATCATCATCAATGTTGTTAGCTGAAAGTTACGAAACTAATCAGTTGTTGAGTTGAAAGACTATTTCATGCAAATAAATAATGCTCTTCTATCTGCAATCTGTTGTGGAAGTCAATAAACTTGAATTCAGACAGTTAAGCACATAAGAATAGCTAATGCGTCCCCTGAGTAAACCTTTACTTAAGTATAATCAATGTCAGGAAACGTCATTCAATGACAGGGTTATGAAATTTCAATTGTCAATAAGGAAGTAATAGTTAATTTATTCTGAAGCAAAATTAAGTAAAAGTACATTATTTTAGAGACACTGAAGCTATTAAAGTTACATGTAACACGACATGGAAGGTTATCTCTTCAAAGAAGCAGTGACCCAGTGGTTAAGCCGTCCGACTTTCAGCCACTAAGTACCAGGTTTGAAACCCCATACACTACGTTCAGGGAACGGAATAATGTAATTAGCCTCCAAACAAATTGTGGCTCATATTCAGCTACCTAGTGAATGGGTTAAGCTATATTCCTTTGTTAAAGCGTATTACTTGCATTTTCAATTAATCGAAGGTGGGAAACATTTTATCAAATCAGATATAATCACTACTGCGATTCAGTTACTTCGTTTATGATTTCACTAAATATAATATTTCCATTTTAATCTATAAACATTTATCAAGTAGAACTGTCATTAAATGTCATCGTAACCATCAACGTAAATAGATTTTGAGGTGTATATCTCTCATCGATCTTATTATTATCGTTACGTATGTGCACTTTTGGTTAATTTATATTTTACACACCCAGTTCAGAAATTGAGTTTTGTTATGGATTATCACAGACTGAACACGGTTAGAAAACCATTGGAAACTAGGAGGAACTGGACAGTTTTTTCATCTTTATGTAGAATTCGTCAGCAGTGCAAACTTTTGACCCTACCAAGGATGGAACCCAGGACGCTTGATCTTGCGACCACTAAGTTAGCATCCAATGATTCTAGCTTCAACCAATTCGTAATATTGTGCGATCATCCTCCATTAGAACTATCGATAATTGCCTCATGTCTAACATAAATGACTTCCATTGATTGTAGCTTCTCTCTAGAACTACAAGAATTGCCCGTTGAAGTTAGTCACTAAATAAACATTTGATGGATATTGTTATATTGTGTTGTGAGGTGATTGTGATGACGAAATTGAATGCTATTTGATAGCGAGTATAGACAAACACTTATATCGGTGTCTATTAAATATGACCTTCCTTTTATTGATTTCTACTCCGTACTCACTGGGAGTGACTGCTAGTAACTGTGTGGAATAAAGTATTGTCTAATGCTACTCTGGTTCTATAGTTTTAGTTGTGAGTCGGGTGTTTGATATAGCATGATCTAGTCTCTATATAGAGGATTGTTCCAGTATTCAGTCCTGCTGTAGTATAAACTCGATCATCCAGTCCAGTCTTATTTCCGTGTCATAGTATCATGGTAGTATTCCACTGAGAGAAAAATATTTCAATCCATCCGTTATGACATAGGGATTGTGGCCTTTAAAGTTTCACATCATGGGCTGACTTTGTTTAGATAACCACTTAGTATATTTAGTGTTTACATTTTATTAACATCACTTTTCGATACGAATAAACTTTAAATTGTTAAAAACTACACTGGATATTTTTACCTAGTAATTGTTATATTATTAAGGAAATTTTATAACGTTTAAATGAAGTTGACAAATTTACACTTTAGCTGTTCATCAACACGTATTGATCATGAATGATTTTCTTGCAAAAATATGTTTTACGTTTGAGAAATTACCATGGTATGATGAAAAAGTGAAAAACAGTTGATCTCAATAAAGTATACAGTTCAAGACAAACTATTTGCTAGGTAAATGAGTTAATTTATCATAATCATTTCACTAATTTATGGATGATTCATTAATTGTGTAAATGTTGAGTCTATGATACTTCCTAGATTCGAAGTTTTGTCAGTTAAATCTTGTAAAATAATCTTTTTAAACATATTTGTTTCTCAATAGTTGAGATCATGAGTCAATTGAAGCTAGACCACCATGGAAAACCTGGAAGCACTAGACGGCCGTTTTGTCCTAGTATAGGACTCCTCCTCCTCCATGGTTCCGCTCCCCGCGAGATCTGAACCCAGGACCTATCAGTCTCACGCGCGAGCACTTAACCACTAGACCACTGAGCTGGCATCTAGCGGTTTTAATGTCTAACTTCAACTAATCCACGAAATTGAGCGACATATCCACCATTGTCATCAGTCAGTTACTACCTCACAACTGGATGAGAACTGATGAGTCTCACGATAGGACAAAACGGCCATCCAGTCGTTCCAGTTTTTCCATGGTGGTCTAGCTTCAATTGACTCATGATCGCAACTATTGAAGTTACTACAATCTCTACGAAACCCAATTTGATATTTGTTTTTAACTGAGAAACATAATTTCATTGTATCATCTTATGGATGAAAGCATTTTTGAATACATTCATTAAGAAATAATAGCAATATAGATATCGGTTGTGCAAAACTCAAATCTAACTATTTTCAGAGTGTGCTATCGGGATAATACAATACAGTAAAACTTCTTTGTATTTCTGCATCAATATAAAATTAAACTTAGATTTTAATAATGTTCTAAAAATTTTACTTTTGGGAACAAATATATCTTTTTTCATCATCATAGTTTTTCCATCACATCTTGACATCAATGGAAACTCACAAATCTGTTGAAAGTGCCAAACAAATTGTTCGTTTTATTTTCGTACTTTTGAGTACTGGGCATTTGTGATCTCGTCAGAAATCATACTGAGGTATCTCCAAGTATTATCATTAGGGTATTACCTTTAGACCACATTTTTTAACTCCAACAATTCGTGATATGATGTAAATGTCATTCATCTTTTTCAAAAGATCGTAAATATACTAAAAAAATATGTACAATTTCTTTTCGACTACACTTCATAATTGAGGTTTTTAGGATTTTCTTCGATAATAGATGTTCAGGTTTGACTTTTTTCTATAATTCAGAAGATACATTGGGAGTATTTTTCATTGTTACTATTATAGTACATTTGATGCATCTGTCATCTGATTGGTAGTTTTGAGTTTGCAGGTTTATCTAGATATTTTTTAACTGAAGTAAATAAGATGCTTAGGTATACATATGACCTTCTTCACAGGTTTACACACACTATAAAGGGAACAGAACTGCTTCAGGTTCGATGTAAACCTACTAATGTATTTCAACCTGTGAAAATTTCTAAAACTCTCCACAAAACCCATTCTGATAATAATCAACTGCTCATTAGTGACTGACTTCAAGAAAAACTCCTGGAGTTCTAGTGAGAAGCCGTTATCAGTGGAGTTCAACCGGTCTGTTGTGAGATAACAACTCACTGAAGACAATGGTGTACGGTGGCGCAACTTCGTGGATTGGTTGAAGTTAGACATTAACACCGTTGGATGCCGGCTCAGTGGTCTAATGGTTAAGTGCTCGCGCGCGAAGCCAGTAGGTCCTGGGTTCGAGCCCCGCGTGGTGCGGGATCGTGGATGCGCACTGCTGAGGAGTCCCATATTAGGACGAAACGGCCGTCCAGTGCTTCCAGGTTTTCAATGGTGGTCTAGCTTCAACTGACTCATGATTTCAACCTGTGAAATTTCTAAAATTCTCCACAAAACCCATTCTGATAATAATAATCAACTGCTCACTAGTGATTGACTTCAGGAAAAACTCCTGAAGTTCTAGTGAGAAGCCGTTACCAGTGGAGTTCAACCGGTCTGTTGTGAGATAACAACTCACTGAAGACAATGGTGTACGGTGGCGCAACTTCGTGGATTGGTTGAAGTTAGACATTAACACCGTTGGATGCCGGCTCAGTGGTCTAGTGGTTAAGTGCTCGCGCGCGAAGCCAGTAGGTCCTGGGTTCGAGCCCCGTGTGGTGCGGGATCGTGGATGCGCACTGCTGAGGAGTCCCATATTAGGACGAAACGGCCGTCCAGTGCTTCCAGGTTTTCAATGGTGGTCTAGCTTCAACTGACTCATGATTTCAACCTGTGAAAATTTCTAAAACTCTCCACAAAACCCATTCTACTAATGTATATTCGTTGTAATATAAATCACTCCAAAAAAATAAGTTACATGGATAGGTATGAATAATAAAAAGGTGGTATTCGTAGATATTCATTCATCAGAGTTAGGATGATTATCTTAGTGCTAGAAATAACTTATTTGAATACTAGTCAAATTTCAATATCATTTAGTTATTAGTTACATCTATTAATGTCAATAACTACTACTGTAGGTAATATCTAATCGAAATTTCCAATGAACTATGGTTAATGATTGTAAACATGTGAAGTAAACTTAAGGAATATATATAAAGAAGAAGACGAATAGTAGCAACAACAAAAACATCTAAAAACAAGTGAACATATAAAACAAACAACTAACACTATTGGTTAGAATTGATTTTTACTGAAAATATTTTGTTTACGAACAATTGGTATTACAAATCTAAATGATTATTGGTGTTTTAAAAAATCAAGTC